CAGGATAGATGGGGGATGGTTGGATTTGCTGTTGACGTAGAGTGGTTGGTTGTTTGGTTTGCTGTAAGGCTTGAAGGACCCCTTTTGTAGGCTGAGTGTGACATCGAGGAAGTTGGTGGTGTGGATGTTCGCCTGTATGGTGATGCGGAGGTCGAATGCGTGGAAGATAGATATAATATTTTTCCTCATTTTATCGCATTGTCTTGGTGATGAACTGTTCATGACGGCGAGGCCATCATCTCGGTAGAGACCGACGTTGGTTTTGCCGAGTATTGGGATGAGTGAGGAGAGGACGAAGGATCCGACAAGTTCGCATATTTCGGCCCCGTCGAAGCTTCCCATTGTAACGTCAAACATGTCATTCAAGTTTTTCTTGGTCCATGTTGAATCGTTACCAAACAATATTGATTTTCGGGAGTGCATGATGATATTTGCTTCGTGTTCGGAGATGCTGGTGTACTTTTGTGCGTACTGGATCGCATCTGTTTACAATTTTTTTGTGATGGATGGGTAGAATTCCACGATGTCAAAGGAGATGAATGTGCTGCTTGATTTGTATGGGATGTGTTTGAACCATTCAGTGACAGCAGCGGTGTTTTTCCATTGGTTCATTTGGGTTTTTGTGAGCAGGTCACGGTTTATCCGGTCGAGGATGGTCTTGCTTACGAGTCCGGTTACTGATTTTGATGGGTTTATGAGTCTGCAGCTTGGTTTATTTAGGAAGTTTTCTTTATGATCTTTGAGTGTTATAAAAGCCTCTTTTTCAGCAATGGTTTCCATTCGGTCCTCGATTTTAAGTTTTGTAGCAATTGCTTTGACTACGTTGTTGATTTCGTGGGTGCTTCCTTCTTTTGCTTTCTCGTATGACAAGGTGATGTTTTCATGCATGAGTTTGTCGTACTCTTCTTTAGTTACTTTGTAGAAGTTTGTATTTTTGTCGGCGGGGATGATGAGCTTGTCGGCTTTGTTGATGGCGATAGAGTCTTGCTTGAGTTTGGTTAGGAAAGCGCATTTCGTGTGGCGTAATTCCACGTCTTCGACCATTTTTAAGACATCATCTTCGAAGAGCTTCATTTCGTCAAGCTGAGGTGGGTATTTTGAAGTCTTTTCTTTCTTCAGGCTCAGCGGTTTTGTTCATAAAGTGAAAAGCTTTCCATCTCATGCGTTTCAAGACACATTCTGTTTTGTCGATGAGGTTTTTCTTGTATTCTTTTATTGATGGTAAAGGGATGTTCTTCATTGAATATCCAAAATTCACACGTTCCATGTTCAATGCCGGTATATCCGAAAGTGCTCGACCACTGGGAGCAATTTAATGAATAAATGTAGTTTACAGCTCTTCAACATGGCTAACACAAACTCAGCACTTAAAACGTGGCTAACACGAATACAGCTCTTCAATGTGGCTAACACGAACGCAGCTCTTATAACATGGCTAACACAAACAAAGCTCTTATAACATGGCTAACACAAACCCAGCACTTCTAACGTGGCTAACACGAACCCAGCACTTCTAACGTGGCTAACAAAAACTCAGCTCTTATAACGTGGCTAATACAAACACAGCACTAACGTGGCTAACACAAACTCAGCAAAACTATGGGTGTACAAAAAAAACATCATAATAATTTAATAAGTTTAGCTCCCGAGTTTGAGATTCCCGGCATCAAGTGGTCAATCGGAAAGAGAAATTGGTCTGTGCTTCCAATCTTCCTCCCCTTCTTCCAATCTTGGATGGTCACGATCTTATGCCCACTTCGTGTTGGTTTTGCGTCTGTCCTGTAACATCGTCACACCAGTACGTGAAACCGAGCCACAGTACCCGATATACCATACAACGCACGAAAATACGGCACAGCATACAAGACACAGGCATTACCCAGCCAATCCAGCACGCAGCCGTTCCACTCAACAAAACAAGGGGGAAAAAAAACTTTTGCCACAACGCTTCACTCAAATACCGTTGCGCACCTGAGCCATGCTTTAATATTTAAATAACCACACATGATGCAAATATACGCTGAAAGTCATGTTTATTAAAATACAAAAAAAAAAAAACACGAACTTGTTACAATATATGGATAGATGACAATATATAAACTTTATTTTGGTTTAATATTGAAAAAATACTGTATCTCCTCTAAAAAAAAAAAATTTGTGTTGGTTTTTCTGTCAATTCTGAAAAACAGCTTTACAAATTTTTGTCTCAAACATATTTTTTCTTGAATATATCAAATTGACCTGGCACGAAAATTAGCCTACAATACTAGATCTACAAGTAACATGTACTAAGATAAGCCAAATACAAAGTATAAGAGAAAGAGTTTAGAATAATGTGGTGCTGACTTGTGGAACAACATTGATGAGACCACAAACATAGTACTTTTTTTTAAAGATAATTTCAACATAATTTTGATAATTTTTAAGTACAGTTTATTTGGTAGTATCTTTGTTTTTTTTTTTTTTGTTTTTTTTTTTAGTTGTCAGGTTTTCTATTTTTTCCTTTTAGTTTGTGTTTTTGTAAGTAGTTCTTGTTTAGTTGTACATTTTAAGGTTAAGATTTCATAATATATAAATAAAATATGGCTATGTATATAAAATAAGGTTGGATTGGGTGCTTTGGGGTGGAACATGGTGTTTTTAAGATTAGTGGAGCGAACATATTTTTGGCCATTTATTTTATAGAAAGGGATTTGCAGTGGACGGAGATATGCTCTCTACTGAGTGCTCTTGTTATTGGCTTTACCTTATTGGCTTTACCCAGCAGTAGCTGGAAAAGCCATTGTTTTTGTTCTGATTTTTTTTTTCCTTATCGTTTTTCCACCTTTTTGTACTGGGTGACAATCCAGTTTAGGGTGTAAATTTGGGGGTCATTTCAATTTCTAATGTCCGAGGCATAAATATCTCTAAAAACTTAGCAATTTATCTAAATGAAACTTTCCACATGAGTGTGTCATGGTCCAATGATGATATAATTTTTGTGACGATCCAGAGTAGGGTGTGGATATGAGGACCATTCAAAGGGAAACGTCCCAGATGAGATATAGTAAAACTGATAAACTGATCTAAATAAAATTTCGAGAAAGTTTAAGCAAGTTACAAGGAAGCAATTATTACATTTTTGTGACAATTCAAAATCAGGGTGCGAACATGAGTACCATTTAAAGGGAAACGTCCTAGACCAGATATCCTAAAAATTGTTCAAGCCAATTTGTGCCATCGTAAATGCTAGTATTAGGAAAGGGGTTCTCCCAGAACTTCGGAAATCAGCTGATGTCCCAATACCTAAGGTGACTCCTCCTAAAATTTTGGAGAGCGATCTGCGGCCCATCTCGCTGACTTCGTCTACAATGAAAGGCATTGAGGGAATCATCGGGGAGATGGTTTGGAACCAAGTTAAGCATAGGATTAATTTGGACCAATTCGGCTGTTCACAGGGTGTCAGCACCACCGATGCTCTCATAAGTCTGTTAAATGAGTTCTTTTCTGCAACTGACCAGGGGGATGAAATGAGACTCCGTCTGTTAGACTTCAAAAAGGCTTATGACCTTATTGACCATAACATTCTTATTAATAAATTATTTAAATTAGGAATCGATGGTAATCTAAAATCTTGGATTTATGCATTTCTCTTAGAGAGAAAACAACGGGTTATGCTGGGCAATGTTGTCTCTCCATGATTAAAGGTCATTGGAGGGATCCGTCAGGGGTCTTGGTTGTTGTTTATCATCTTTGTTGACAATCTTTTGGAAGGAGTGCCGTGTATGAAGTACATGGACGACACCTCCGTCTACAAGCGCGACGGCAAGGATGAGGTAAATGGGCTCCAAACCATTCTTGATGAGATTATTGAATGGACAAATAACAATAATATGTCACTGCATGTTAAAAAGTCGAAGGAAACGACGATTAGCTGTAAAAGAGTCAAATCTGATATTTACCCACTCCATATTGGAGAATGTAACCTGGAACGTGTTTCAGAATTTAAATTGCTTGGTGTTATCATATCAAATAATTTCTCCTGGCAGCCCGACATTGATTATATAATCAGTAAATGCAATACTAGATTATACTTCTTAAAACAAGTTCGTAGAGCTGGTCTTAATACCGCTGAACTTGTTCATTTCTATATCAGTACTATTAGACCTATTCTAGAATATGCAGCCCAAGTGTGGGGTACTAATATCACTAAGCAACAAAGCCAAGTTCTGGAACAGATCCAAAAAAGAGTGCTTAAATTTATCCTTCCTGGTGTTAGTTATAATGGAGCTCAGTCTCTGTTTGAAATGCCAACATTGGAAGAGTGACGTGTTCGACTGTGTAGGGATTTCTTTAACAACATCAAGGATTCTAATCATAGATTAAACTATTTATTACCTACTGCCCGCGATTCTAAATACAATCTTAGAAGACCCCATCAATTTAGTATCCCGAAGGTTAACACAAATCGATCAAAAACATTTATAATCAATCATGGTTTGTTCCAAAATTGGTAACCTTCCCTGCACAGTCAACACTTCCATTCTCCGCACTTTCTTTTCATGATGCTTTTGTGAGTTTCGTCGTGTTTTTGGGAAACCCTTTTTGATGTTAAACTTCAATCTCTTTTTATATTGATGATTGCAATAAAGTGATTTTGTATTTGTATTTGTATAAACTAATCGACTGACCTGAATAAAACTAATCAGCTGATCTGACTGAAAATTTAACCATGGTAAAAGGAAAAAAATATTAAATTTTAGTGACGATCCAGATTTGGGTGTGAATTTGAGGGTAATTTAAAGTTCCGAGACATAAATATCTCTAAAAACTTATCAAACTATTCTGAAAAGCTTAATTTAGATTTTATGTTTGAATTTTGGTAATGATCCAAAGTAGGGTGTGCATATGAAGACCATTTAGAAAATATTTTTAAACCAGTAACTAAATTGCGTTTTCTGAAGCGTTGAAACCAGTTGCAGCTAGGTTATACGCAAAATTACCATGAAATATGCATGAACAATTTTTGCTCTTAATTTTTTTTACTTTTCCTGCCATTGTTTTTGTTCTAATTTATCTTTATTCTTGTATCCTGTTTTCTTTTTCTGACCGGCACTTTGGTCACTTTTCCGTGTTCTTCAAACATGACGTCATTCTACACATTTTGAAAAATAAATAGTAGCAGTCATAGTTCGAGTTTCCCGTACGTCAAGTTCTTTTTCTTTTTTTTATCTACATAATTCATTTCATTTTTATTTTTCATGTTTTTTTACGACTATATAAATTTTTTTATAATTTCAACATCACTACTCATTATGGCAATGATAAAAGCTGTTTTGTTTTACAAACATATATATAAGTCTAGAATTATTATTATTATTATCATTATTATTATTATTATTATTAATTGTTATTACTATTAATATTTTTTATTATTGTATTTATTATCAGATAATAATAGTATTGGTTGATTTAATTTATTTGGCAATAACCAGTGATACAATACAGAACAATTAAAATGATCACAAAAAGAGGTGATATCTTAAAAGCTATAAAAATATAAGGCATATATATATTTATCTATGTATTATTGGTAAATATATTAATGTAATAATAAGTTGATGATGATTAATTGATTATTTGAGTATACAACAGAGCAGTATATGAACTACCCCTGCCCCTGATAAACAAAATAAGAAAAATAGAACTTGTTTGGATTTTTTAAACTTTCAGTTTGTGATGGTTTATGCATGAATGGTGGAGTATGCAACGTCAACAGATTCTATGTTGAGTCTTGTTCGTAAGCATAATTGATATTATTTACTAATGTATATTTTTCATAATTATTGTAATATGTTTTTTCAGTTATTGATAATCATCATTTGTTTATTGTTTAAAAATAGCTGTTGTGCTAGAATCTAAAAATGTCAAAAATAAAATTGCTCACTTCCAGCAAAAGTTGGACCCCAACTTGCACTGTTGACAGGTTGTGAAGCGGACCTCGCTATGTTTCAGCCCTAGGTGCGAGTATTTCATGGCTTATAAATCAAATAAATATTTTGGCGGCCTCTCAATATTGGTGGTAACATCAGGCCAGATATACCAAGATATACAATTAAAAAAACCTGAGGAGAGGTTTTGCTTCTGCTTCAAAATTTAGTTGGGTTAATTATTTATATAGCACTCATTCTGTACTTTTAGTTTTTAAAATTTAAATCAGAATTATAATTGTAATTATTACATCATTTTATGGGTTTATATAATAAATAATAGTTTTAATGGTGTTATCTCTTTCTATGTTTCTATGTCATCTTTTTAGTGATGAAACTAGTATAATATTATACTATTTTTAAGTTTGAAAGTATAATACGACAGCCTAAAATTAATAAATTTGAATTAATTTATTTTTGTGCATATGTTTTTTCCATTTAATATATTTTTCATATATATTTTGATTGAAAATATTTTGGAAGGTTTGCATGGCGAGTTAAAATAATTTTGGTTTACCGTGTGTCTATAAATATTTAAAAGGGCTTTTTTTGTAGAAAAAAATACATATTTATAATGTAATTTCTGATTAAATAATGTTTGTTAACCTTAATTTTCCCAAATTTGCAAATGCTATAACAACAAGTTGCATTTGTTGGGACATAACTGTTTTTACTCGGCTTCATGACGTCCTGACCAATGTCTTTCCAGCATCTTAACCTCGTATTGGCTCAGAAAGGTCTGAAACAACCAAGGCCAAAATGAATCTGTGCTGAAACTACATGGATCCATTGATTACATAATTTAATAGTGTCTCAGTGTTTTATTTTGCCAAAAATAATGATAAAAATTGTTATACAGTATTTATATTTATATTTCCACTTTTAGGTGTCCTGATGGATACAGTGGAGAAGTGTGTAGCAACAAGGATGGTAAGTGCATATGAGGTCCATTTCTTATTTTCAAATGTACTGTATATAATTATACAAAATAAATCTGGTGGATGTACAGTCCAATGCTTTCTTTATTCACATTCATCTTTCCGCCCCCTCCACTACTCCCAAGTGCAGATCCATGGCCTTGGTTAGTGGCCTAGCTAGGTGTTGACAGACTCAATGCAAGAATAGGTCTAGGCCAGATTGTCAAAACCCAGTTTGCCGCATGCCAGATTGCTGTGTCCACTTTGCCGAAACCCAGTTTGCCAACTCAAAAACTATGAATCCCAAAAGTCAATCAAAAGCAGTAAAACATTAACAACAACATAAAGTTCATGATGAAGCAATATCTTATACCGTGGCTGCTTCTGTAGGCTACAGAGTGCTGGAACCATCAGAATCCGACATTGAGAATTTAGAAGCCATCAAACGCGATCACTGTGTGTTCCTATGATAGCAGCTTATTGTAGTTAAATTATCCTTTTTGTCTTTTTCTGACCCGAGTCCTTGAATCTTAATTTGTTATTTAGAATATAATAGGCCCTACTATAATAAATGTTTACCTACGTTTGGCGCTTGACAATTTAGACAATTTTGACTATTTAATCCGAGCAAAATAAACACGGTACCAACTCCATAGGCAGCCACAAGATAGTTGGAACAGAGTCTATATCCACCTCATCCTTAACGTGGTTAGGGCTGAGGTGAGCAAATTTTGAAAATGTGGCAGCTGGATTCCAAAAATAGCAGCTGGTAACTGCAGGGGTGGGGCCAGGATTTGACCGACTTGGGGCCTAGGTCCCCGACGGGGGGGCCGATGCCCCGACGAGGGGTCAGATTTCCCAGACGAAAGCAAAGTGGGCGTGGTCGAGCTTCAAATAAAAGGTTTTGAAAGTGGTCCTGGGGGCAAAGCCCCAGAAAACTTTGACAATTTAGGGGTTTCAAAGGCTTATTTAATCGATTTTAGAGTCTACTATAATAATAATAATAATTACTTTATTTAAACACGGAAAAACTTGATCACCCAAGGGTGTTTTTCATCAAGGCCGTGCAAGGTCATAAGTGGTAAAATATAAAAATACAAAATACATAACAAAAGTATAAACATTAAAGAATTTGATTAAGTAATAAATGTGATTAAAATGTGAAATTAAATAGTATCTTTAGTTTAAAATAAATCAAAAACATATACATTAATTAATTTAATATACATACAGTAATTGATTAATTTAATGTCAGAAGTTAGATTAGATTAATGATTTTTTTAAATTTATTAACATTTGCTGAATTTCTATACTCATCATTTAAATTATTCCATAACTTAGCACCATGGTAAGTTAAACTTCTTTTTTTATATTCAGTTTTAGGTTTTTCAGTGTATAAGACATCCATTGTTCTTGTATTGTATTGTGGATTTCTTAAGGTAAATCTGTTCCTAAGATATGATGGTGCTAAATCATGAAATATTTTAAACATAATAATAGCCTCATTGTAGAAGAGGTTTGTTTCAAGGTTTACCAATTTAAGATCCTGCAAGGCTTGGGAACTTGAGTCGTAACTTGTCTTTTTTAGGATAATCTTTGCTGTTCGGTTTTGAAGAACTTGTAATTTGTTAGTTAAAGTTTTATTTGTTCTACCCCACACAACATTACAGTAATCAAAATGTGGGGCTATTAAAGATTTGTACATCAAATTTTGAAGGTGCTGGGGGATAATGTTACAGGACTTTTTCAAATAGTATAAGCCAGGCAGGACCTTATTTTTAACATGATCTGTTTGTTTCTCCCAAGATAAATTTTCATCAATATACACGCCTAGATGTTTACAGCTTTGCACCCTATTTAAACGTTCACCATCAATGTTAATATTTAGATCTGTATCTGTTAATTTTGCCAATTTCTTATGTGTGCCAATAAACATACACTCTGTCTTTCTTACATTTAAACTTAGTTTGTTACATGCTAACCAGTTTTTAATATTTCCTAGATCAATGTTAATTTTGTTGACAACATCCTCTATATCTTTAGATACATAATATAGAACTGTGTCATCAGCATACATACTAATTTTTACATGACAAATATGACTAGGTAAGTCGTTTATATATAAAATGAATAATAGTGGCCCTAGAATTGAACCTTGGGGTATTCCACACACAATGTCGTACTGATTTGACAAAACACCATTTACATTTGTGATTTGAGTTCGATTATTAAGATAATGTTTAAACCATTTTATAACAGAGATATCAAGAGAATATTTATTTAGTTTGTCTATAAGAATTTTATGATTTACTGTGTCAAATGCTTTCTTTAAATCTATCATAACTAATCCAATGTATTTTCCAGAATCAATGGCACTAATCCAATCCTCTGTTACATTGATTAAAGCTGAAGTTGTGGAAAAACCTGGTTTAAAACCTGATTGATATTCGTAGATCATATTATTTAGATTTAAGAAAGGGTAAATTTGGTCAAACACAGCTCGTTCAAGAATTTTTGACAAGATCGGTAGTATTGAAATTGGTCTGTAATTACTACTGTAGGTTCTGTTTTGTCACCACCTTTAAAAATCGGACAAATTTTTGATCTCTTCCATTTTTTTGGAAACACACCAGTTGAAAGTGACAAGTTAATAAGATATGTTAGTGGACCAACAATAGTATCTATTGATAACCTTATCAATTTAGCAGGGATATCATCAATCCCAGTTGTTTTATTTACAGACAAAGAAATTAGTTTCTTATAAACATATTCCTGGTCCACTAAATTAAAATTGAAGATTAGGTCATTATCAATTATTAAACTTTTATTTAAGTCTGTCCTTTCTTTACCATCAGGAATATTTTCGGCTAAATTAGGTCCAACTTTTACAAAGTAGTTATTTAATGTATTTGCAATTTTAGAAGGATCTGTTTCTATTCCTTTATCGGTTTTTAAGCTATTTATTTCTGTATTTTTAGTTTTTTTTGGTATTATAAGTCGTATGTTCTCCCATATTTTTTTAGAATCTTTAGTCTTTAGTTGTTTTGAAAAATATTCCCTTTTGCTATTTCTTATTTCGAAGTTAACTCTATTTTTTATTAATCTATACTCATCCCATAGTTGAGATGATTCTTCTTTACTTGCTCTTTTCTTAGTCCTATCACGCTCATGCATAAGCTGTAATACTTCTTTAGTTAACCAGGGGCTATTTTTATGCCTTACTCTTTTTTTCTTTGAAGGTGCATGTAAATTTGCTATTGTTAGAAATTTATTTTCAAAATCATCTAGTGCATCGTCAACATTAGAATAAAAAGTAATTTCATGCCAGGGTACATTTTCCATATCTGACTTAAACTGGTTTTCATCAAAGTGTTTATATGTTCTACTAATTCTAAATTTATGATTATGTTTAATTTTTTCTTCTTTCCCAATTATTGCATATATAATGGAATGATCGCTCATTCCCGTATGCAGAACACCAGAAGTTGATATTTTTTCAGGAAATGAAGAATAAATGTGATCAATGATAGTTCTGTTATTTTTAGTTATTCTTGTCGGTTCTGAAATTAACTGTTTTAAATGGAAATTTTTAGCAATTTCATTAATTCTTTGAGTGTAACATGTTGGATTGGCTGATAGTATATCACAATTCATATCACCAATCATTATAATTTCTCTGTTTCCACATTCAATATTTTCAAGCACATGTTCGACATATTCAAATAATTTGAGTTCTGAATTTGGAGGGCGGTACCAGGCTATAATTAAAATGGGCTTATTTTTGGGTTTTTTAATTTTAAGTATAATCATTTCTAGTTCATTGTGCATTAGGTCATATCTAACAGAGTGAGTAAAACCCCCATTATTATTTACATAAAAGGCAACTCCCCCTCCCTCTCTGTTTCTATCTTTTCTGTAAATATCATATCCATTAATGTTTAGAATATTATCTGTGATTGAATTATTTAGGCGGGTTTCATTCAAAGCAACTATATCTATTGTATTGTTTAAAAGAAGATGTTTAAGTTCATCAAATTTACCCGGAAGTGTCACAATATTAAGTCCAATTATACTTAACCCTTTGTTCTTAAAAATCTTATGGTTTTCTGAAAAAATGTTAGAAGTACTTAGTGAAGTTTTGGATAGCTCATCATTTTTTCCGTTGATATTTGTTGAGTGTTTGTCCTTAGTATTAAAAGTGTCCAAAGTAAATAACATTTCCAGGTGGAAGGATTCCTCATTATCGTTAAGTTTCAATTCGGCATCAGCTTCCTCGCCTTCTTTTCATTGTTGTATCTCGCAGAATTTAGACTTGTGTCCCACTGAATTGCATGACCAGCAAGTTACAGGCTGACCATGGTGACATACACGACGGGTATGACCACTTTCTGCACAAAAGTAGCAGTAAGTTGATGATGATTCTTGAAGGTTGTTTCTTTTGGGCCTTATGATTTGAATTTTTGAATTAAGGCTTTTGATTAGAGCAAAGGTTCCATATTTGTTGAGATGAAGGCCATGATATACAAATTTGGAAGCATCCAGACCATATCTGCATAAGAAAGCTTTAGAGTTGTCAATGAAGTCATCTTTGTATCTTGACTTGAGCTCTTCATTTGTTTCCAGTACACGCACATTGATATGTGGGTCATCAAGACGGGGACAGATTCCAGACAAAAACACCTTTCCTGATATTCTGGGTTTTAAGCTTGAAACAAGTTCATTGAAATCCTTCATTAGTTCCTCTTTGTTGTAATTTAAGTTGCTGCAATCATTTGTTCCGGCATGTATAATCACATTTTTTACTTGGCTCACATCTAGTTCTTTTAGTGCTGATGATACTTGTTGCACTGTGTATCCCCGTAGTGTTTTTACAGATGCATTCCATAGTCCTCGTGTCTTTATATGTTTTAACATTGAATCACCTATGATCAGAGTTTCTTTGTTGAATACTTGATGTGGGATTACAGTAGGATGAAACTCAGGTTGTACATTTGCGTAGCTTGTGTTTAAGTTTTGGACAGCTGTGTTAACTTGCGGTTGGTCCTCATTGATGGTAAGGTCGTTGTTATCCTCAATTTCAAGAGCTTCAAAATGATTATATGTGCTTATATTTGGCACATCTCTCAAAGGAGTAGATTCTTGAGTTATTTCAGTAGAGTTTATTTGAGGGTTAAATGAAATTGCGCTTCCTTGTAGTTTTGAAACAAGCGTATTTATAATAGATTCAAGATTTGAGATTCTGTCCTCAAGTGAACAAGTCATTGTCTGGGTTGCAGTAGTTTTAAATGTAGGCTTTGTTTCTATTTGTTGAGTTTGGTTGACAGATTCATAATTTCTGGTGTAATTTCTATGATACTCTGATACCTGTAAGTTATAATTTCTTATGCAGATATTGATTTCATCATCAGAAAAGCCATAGAAACTGTTCATACAAGAGCTATTGGTGCTAATTCCTTGGTTAGATCCTAGGCCAATTTTAAAATTCACCATGGTGGTAATCAATTTGGCTTGGTAAAGAAGTCACTCCCTGTTCACTATTCAGCTATTATGTCAGACAGAGGCTAGCTTATCTGGCCCTAATTAATTTGATAAACAGTTTGAACAAAGAGTCAATAGAGTGCTTGTTGGCTTGCCTTAGTAATGCTTGAAGTATGCTCCTCAAAGCTTGGTTGGAGCCTAGAAAAATGCCCCAAAGTATACCAAATATTGCAAAAAATACCTTGAATTTTTCAAAAAGAATTGCTGATTTAGGATCTTCTCAATTTCTTCTTTATAATGATACAAGAAAGTAGCCAAATAATCCAGTTGAAATAGACATTTTCAAATAAATAATAGACACATTCTCAGGCTTGTTTCCAAGTTGATAAGTTGTTGTAATTCATCGTATCATGTATGTATGTACTAATATGTAGAAAAATACATGTAGAAAAATACACTAATATGTAGAAAAATAAATGTAGAAAAATACATATGTAGAAAATACATATAATTTTTTTTTCTCCCCGACAAATTGTGCTTTTTCTCCCCAACGGGGGGCCCTGGCGCCACCCCTATGTAACTGTCAGGGACGTATGCATCGTTCAGCATGGGGGGGGGGGGAGGCAGGGTGCAAAATTGAGAATGCAGAACTACTGTAAATCCTTTTCCAATGAAAAATTAATGGTCATTTTTAGCATTTTAACAGGGGCGGATCCAGGATGGATGTGCCGGGGTGGTGCGAAGCACACAAACGAGGACCTTGGGTCCGAGGGAGTAGGGGTATCTTCCCCCCCCCCGATAGCCTGGGGCCGCCAAGGCCCCCCTGGAAGCTTTGCATTTACCACTTATCAAAATGACTTTTAAGACGGTTTGATAAAAGGAAGCAAATATATTTTGTATTGTCAGCATTTCTCTGCCCACTTACACATCAGGTCCAGACTAAAGACATCTGTTTGAACAGCACTTCTCCTATTCATTCGTTTTCTTTCTCGCACTATTTTTCTACTTTTGTATTTTTTTCTGTCCTGCTTGGCTCTGGCACCATGAGCGCTCCATGCAGATAACGGCGTCTTATAAATATCCAATATTATTATTATTACAGTATTTCCCTATACAGGTGTTTGTATTTATTTGCATAGACACAGTAATATGATGCACTGGGAAATGAACAATACAAGATGATAGGCCTATTTTTCGAGAATCTACATACCAGTAATCAAACAAAACATTTAAAAAAAAGCAAGCAAAAAAAAAAATGGTCCTTAAGTGTGCTTATTAAGCATCTATCTGTCTAATATTAAAATATGCAACATAGGCATTGAAAATGATAAATAAAAACTTTCATACTCTTTTTTGAGTATTTGATCACTAGGCCTAGTATATTAAGATGATAAAAAACTTTACTAAATTAATATTAACGATAGGCCTACACGACATAGTGTATGATATTTGCATGTAGGTATTCGATCTACTGATTGAAAATGTTCTAAAAGACAAATCAGCGTCGGAGATACTGTACAACGTTGTGTTTGTGTAACTTGAGCGGAAAAAATTAATACTTCCTGTCGGTTATTTGTAACGTGCCCTGTAAAGATGTAATTGTCATTGTTATTTAGTTTTATTATTATTATTATAGTTATCAATTATTGTAGTTATTATTATCTTTCTTTTTTTCTTTTAATATGTATTTACAAAACTGGGCTGGGGGTGGGGGGCGAGCACCCACTTTGTCCCCTGCTGGATCTGCCACTGTTTAACCACATTTAGCGGAAGTCATATGCTGCCATTGGTGGATGCCCATGGTTGTATGAGCAGACATAATATTTATCTAGTTAGTTGGGATATTGATTGCATAACTACTTGAAGAAATTATGGCATCTCTAAATGCCAGGTATAGCAGCTGGAAACCCAGCTGGAAAACTGCAGGCATGTGATAATTCTGTGGATCCACGGAATTCCAAAGTTATTTTAATTAATGAAATGTTTTGATACAATTCCAGATCTGGGGAGAAGGGGAAAAAGGGGGGGGGGGGGGGGGGGCAGGTACGAAGTGCAGATGATGGTAATGAACTGTACTTGAGCGAAAACAGATAAGACTCAGGTTTGTTTTTAGCAGTTCAGCAATGCCTTTATAGTATTATACGCCGCGGTAATTAAGCTACTCTGACTCCGACCTATTGATTACTCATGCACGAAGTACTATGAGTTTGTATTGGTTGTTCTGACCAATAGTTGTTCAAATCAAAATGATACCAGTCTTGGAAGATGGTAATTTTTCTGCAGTACTGGTGGCTGATGCAATATGAAACACATGTACCTCGTCTTATATTTTTGTTTCAACAACTCCCACAACTGAATGAGTGAATGTTCCAGCAAGTACTGTATATGTTGTTTGTTTATGTTGAACAATAAATATAAGACTGTTTATGTTTAATAAAATGAAACATTTCTACTATACTGTATTTACTATTCCTTAAAATATCGAAAACGCTGTCATCGTATTGATTTTTTTTTTATAATTGTAACCAGACTATAAAGTGATGCCTGCACAGGGAATATCCTCCACGCAAAAAAATAAGCCTAGATATAAGAATCTGATTGCACATTTCTGAAAATAAGGGCTGATTTTCGTGCAGATTTTGCCGAAAAATAGGGGCTTTGAATTCCTAATATAGGCTAGTCAATGTATTATGCAGTGGTTACGATTCTGCACACCTATTTTCCGCACAAATTCGAGCTATCATTTCAGGTATCATCCGCGTAATTAAAATACTTTACAGTATGAATGGTGAGTAAGGAGTTACATGTTAATATCCTATCAAATGATGGAGAGATGATGCTGACAATGATGATGAATAAATGAGGTCGGGTAGCTAGGTTAGCCTTTACGTAAAGTAACACGACGAAGAACGATAATCATAATACAGTAATTGCCCAAATTACGGCACTTATGCATGTACAGTATAAGTAGTCCATGGCTATAATTTGTGTCGGAATTGGAAATAAAACAACACAGTACCTAATCAGGGCGTATGGACAGTAAGCAATTACTACACATTCACAACATTGCTTCCTAGGAAATGCATGCCCATAGGTTGTTAAAATTTCTAACAGGAGGGGATTACCCTCCTGTACCCACCCGCGCTCGGTCACTTCATTCACTCGTGCTGGGGTTTCAGTGGAAATCGAATATCCTTACTCACTTGCCTGAACCTGCTAAGCAGCTACCCCTTTTCTGACCCATGGCAGGGGCAGGATACAGGATTTAATGTTAGTAGAAATGGACTACATACCATACCCACCTCAGCTCCCCACCATATTGAAAAAATAAAAGGCTCCTGATAGGAGTTATGAGTATACTGCAGAAACTAGGTCAAAATTACCCTAACAAAGTCAATTATCAGACAAGGTGCTATCAGCCATTGTTCATCTGTCAAAACATAGGACCAATTACCAACTCCCTGATAAAACTAATATTACACTGACAGTATTTGGCATGCATTTTACATAAAAATTCAATGAACTGTAACACATTTCATTTTACAGAAAAATTCCACTACCATAGCATAGAGTATATCTGCGCAAGCGCATTATACTAAGACTAGCTCATCTGCCAGGAAATAGCACATGCATACTTTTATTGTAAAAATGGGAATAACATTATGACAAAAAGGAATATCCTTCACTTTAATATTGTAACTGTAGCTAAAAGAGTACATTCTCTCCATTAAACAACGTCTTCCATGATTAAAATGCTTGTGCGAAACCCTGTTTACTCATTCCAGTACCGGGGATTTGACCATACTTGATACAGATACGCTATTAAGGCTATGATAATCATCAACGAGAACATCAATCACAGAGTATAATTTACTGACATATAAGTGTGTTTGTTTATTTCTGTTTCTTTAACTTTCATTTACAATGTAAGTACTATCTTGGAATGAAGCTCATAGGTTATTTTTTTAAGAACACTTTTTTAAGAACGCTTAGGTTATTTTTTACAAAATGTGATGTTGACCTGCTGAAATCAGAATGCATTGAATGCGATACTATCTACTTGATTTTTTTGCCCTGACCTTTCAAAATCAATCAAGAGTTTATATTATTGACATTAATAATATGCATTTCAGAATACTTTATCATTATTTTCAAACTATTGTATTTTATGAAGCAGTTGTTTGTCATAATGTTATTCCTATTTTACAATAAAACGGGTTTATTTTATTTTTAAAACAGATTTTTCAACTTTAGTGATTATCGCTATAGTTCTTGGAGCTGTTGGAGCATTGATATTTGTAATTTTACTGGTAGTTATTGTTTGTATAATGATCCCAAGTCAGAGAACTAATCCAGTGTATGATAACCGCAATGTACGTACAAGAGGACAACCTTATAAACCTAGAGGGAAGTCAAACCGTCAAAGTGAAATGATGTACAGTAGATCATATTTTGACCAAGACCAACAGGTAAATTTATCAATAATTAAGTACTATCTTCTGTGCACAACATGAAATGAGAAATAAATACCGTAAAGGGTAAAACTGCAGTCTTTTACTGAAATGAACTTGACAATGGCTTCATAATTGAATCACAATTTTTTTTTTTTTTAGATTAAAAAAAAAAAAATGATTTAGATTTTGTTAATAATACTGTAATTAATTCAGATTTTAATCTATTAAGAGGGCGGATCCAGAATTTTTAGAATTGGTGATGGGGGTGGGGGAGGGTCTGTGTGTGTCCCCTCCTCACAAAACAAGATTTGTTTTTTTTTAATGGGGACTTCTAGATGTTCTGCTTGACTGATCAGATCCAAACAAAATGATTGGTAAGACAAATTTGACTTGGGGGGGTGCTTGATAGTAGAGGCTAAATATGGTTTGACCTTAAACAAACTCTAATAAAAGGACTTTTTGTATATTCTTGTATGTCTATATGTAAATAGTTATGAAAAAATTTTTGCCGCCTTTTTATCGTTGCGTTGACCAGATATTCAGGGTCAAGGGTCAATGAACTTTATATAACATGTTCTGGGTCACAACTCTTCAACCACTTGCTCGAAAAACACAAAAATATTATCTACACCTGGGTTTTGGGGGTCAACAATCATGGAAAAAGTTTGGTGCCTTCTAGTAGTAGCATTGACCAAATATTCAAGGTCAAAGGTCAATGACCTTTATACAACTATGATGGTCAAAGCTCCTCAACCAGTTTGCCTAGATGCACAAAAATAGTGGCTACACCTAGGTTTTTGGGAACAACATTTATTAGGACCTTTTTGCCACCTTCCAGTAGCTACGTTGACCAAATATTCAGGGTCAAAGGTCAGTGACCTTTATACCACTATGATGGTCATAACTCTTTAACCAGTTTGCCTAGATGCACAAAAATAGTGGCTATACCTACTGTAGGTTTTTGGGATCATTAAAACATTTTTGCCACCTTCTAGTAGGTGCATTGACAAATATTCAGGGTCAAAGGTCAATGACCTTTATACAACATATGATAATCATAACTCCGCCACCACTTGGTCTAAAAGCACAAGTGAATAATGTCTCCACAATCAACTTAAAAGCAAAAAAATAAAATTTTCCTTTCGAAACAGTATGAATGCTGCAACGGCGGCTGAACATTTATGAAAGTGGGAGGGGGGACTTCATAAGGTCCAGTATGCGAGCGATGCGAGCATCTGGGCTGGAGGGGGTCTGGGGATTCCCCTGGAAGCTACGGATATTTGAGCAATTTTATTAGTTATTTTATAGGGATCAATCAAGCTACTGTTTAATATCACTTCATAATTCTTGTAATTTCCAGTAGCGGATCTAAGAGTTCACTTTCACAGATGGAGGATCTACCTGAGCCTCACCACAGTTGGGGCTGAAGTAAGAAAATTTGTGCTTATGGCACCTCTAGATGGCCTGAAATTGCGCTTTCAGACATAAAATTTGAATATAATTTTCTTAATACTGTATCTGCATTTTTAAAAAAATGAACAATTAGGAGGGTGGGGGGCAGGCTGGTGGGCCCTTTGAATCCGCCACTGGGTACTTTCGCAGATGGAGGATGTATACCTTAGCCCCACCATGGTTGGAGCTGAGGTAAGAAAATTTGTCATTATGGCATTTCTCATGGCCAGAAACTGCACTTTCAGACATAAAATTTGTGAATATAATTTTCTTTATACTGTATCTCCATTAAAAAGAAAAATTGAATAATTTAGAGGGTAAGGGCAGGCTGGTGGGTCCACTTTAATCCTCCATGGAGTACTATCACTGATACAGGTTGTATACCATGGTTGGGGTTGTGGTGAGAAAATATGGCACCTCTAGATGGCCGGAAATTTGTACTATCAATATAATTTTCTTTATATCTGCATTTAAAAAAGAATTTGCACACAACCTACCTCCACTCCTGTCTCTTATACACATCTAGATGTGTATGAATTGAATCTGTCTCTTATACACATCTAGATGTGTATAAGAGACAGGCCTGGAAATGATACTCCAACTGTGGCAGGTCCAGAAAGTCGAAATAGAGGAATCAAGGGAGGGTCTTGCGCAAATGGAATGTCCACCCACCTCAGCCCCACAACAGTTGGGGCTGAAGTAAGAAAAAAATTATGATTATGGCACCCTAGATGGATGGAAATAACTCTATCAGATTAAAAGATTAAATAGTTTTTATTTTTTTATTACAGTTTTTACAACCTATTAACTACAGTGTACTGTGAATTCTGAAGTTAACTTTCAGGGAAGTTTATTTTAAAAAATGGCCTAATAAAGTATCTTATAGTTTTAATTAAATTTCATGGAGTTTAAATGTGGTTATATTTATGCTAATAATAATAATAATAATAATAATAATAATAAGATAATATAATAATTTATAAAGTGTCAATTAAACGACAGGGGTGCATTATCAAAGGCGCTTTACACTTTACTGATGGCAAAGGTAAGTTTTAAGTAATTTTTGAAATGAAGCAACAGAAGAACAGTTTAATAATGTGTGCAGGAAGTGAATTTCAAAGTGTAGGTGCGTTAAATGAAAAAGATTTATGGCCAATCTATGGCTAGTTCGAAGGTTTACCGTAGGCCAGTCAGTTACACTTACTGTACATCTTCATGGTTAGCAAAAAAGGAACTAGAGCGTCACTCCATAAAGAGTGCCTACCTCCCCCATATACCTAAATACAGAATTCAAGAAGGCGGACGATTCCATTCTTTTTTTGTCATGCTCGAGGGTGGGTTTCGAGGAAAATTTCAAGGCATGTGTATACAGACGTCAATCAACATTTGGTTGCTCAACTCAAAAAGGGAACTTGTAATGTTCGTTAGAAAATGAAAAAAATAAAATCTATACCTGTATTTCATAATAATATTAATAGGGCAATTAAAAAGGTGGAAATAAACAAGGTCTCTAAGCACCAAATAATAATAATAATAATAATAATAATAATAATAATAATAATAATAATATTGACATTTTAGCATTCGTAAAATGTTTGTCACTCGTGCTTGGAATAGTCATAAAAGTGGGATTTGGAATTCATCTGATAGGTATAATAAGAGTCGTTTCTTATTTGCAGTACTGTATTACTTAAATAGACTTCCCTTTCATACTTGCATTCAGTGTTACGGTTAAAATTTACTTGGTTACTACCTTTTCTTCTCTGCTCATACATTTCCTAAAGGTCAGTGTCCTATGACCTGGAATATTTAATCAACGCAGCTATTAGGTGGCAAAAATACTTTAATAAGTTGATCCCAAAAACCTAAGTGTAGCCACTATTTTTGTGCATCTAGGCAAACTGGTTGAGGAGTTATGACCATCATAGTTGTATAAAGGTCGCTGACCTTTGACCCTAAATATTTAGTCAACGCAGCTACTAGAAAGCGGTAAAAATGTTTCCATAAATGTTGACCACGAAAGTGTAGACACAATTTTCTTGCTTTTCAACCAATTAGTTGAGGATTTATGACCCAGAACATGCTATGAGTCAAAAATTTCCCATGATTGTTGTTCCAAAAAAACCTCGGTGTAGACACTACTTTTGTACTTTTAGGCAAGTAGTTGAAGAGTTATGACCTGCTACATGCTGCATATATAAGTAATTGACCTTTGACCCTGAATATATTGTAAACGCTACTATAAAAAGTGACAAAATTTTTTTCATGACTTTTCAAATATAGGCCTACAAGAATATGCAAACAGTCCTTTTATTAGAGTTTGTTTAAGGTTAAATAGGATTTTTGTCACATTTAGCCTGTACTATGACTAGACTGATGGGGAGTCAAGCCCCCCCCCGTCAGGCGCTGCCCCGGATTTTTCAGCTTATAAAACTAAATGACAAAATGTGGCTGATACAAGAGTAATTATACAAACAATGGTACTGTGATAGGGCTAAAGTTCATTGTCACTCTAATCCCAGATCAAAGCGGATTGATAAAAAATAAAAAATGGCCCCTAATTATAAAATTTAATAAAAAAATAAATTTTTAAATGCTGTAAAATACCCTGTAGAAAAAAATTAATTAGTAAATCAAAAGAAACCATATGCATATTTGAAAACTAAAATAACTTAGTTTTTAGCTGATTGATTAATTAATAGATCTTTTTTGTATATGCGGCTGTTAGGGCTAAGTATTTTTTAATATTATTATTCTTTAACAAAAAAAAAATAATAATTTGATGTTCATATCAACCCATTTTTGCGGGGTTATCAATACCCGAATTGAATTTCTGGAAAATTGTGATTCCGCAAATAAATTATTTTAGTATTAATAAATGCATGATTTATGTTGATTTATTGATTAAATTGTTGCTTTTTTTTAAACATTAAAAAGAAAAAAAATAAAAAGTGTTATCCTTGGCTTATTTTTTTTTTTTCTTTGAATATGTAATTCCTGGAAAAAGTCAAATATAAATGGCAATTTATTTTATGCCAGATTCTTTTTAAAAACTAAATTATTTCAGTTTTAAAAATGATAGAATGATTTTTTTTTTAAAGTTTTAATACAGAATTTTATTATTAGGGGCCATTTTTACCTACCTGTCATTTGGGGCCATTTTTACCGGGGCCATTTTTACCGTACACGGATTGAAGATTTGTGGTTAAGAAACCTACTTCTAAAAGTGGCACCGGTTTCTCCAATGTGGGTACCATGATCACATGCATTACGTGCATTACATATTATAACATCGCATAACTCATGCTTTTTATTTTTGAGTCATCTGTTTCCAGAGAGATCCATCTTTTGCACATTGTTTCCAGGCGTTCAGGTGTGGTTGGACAACATTCTTGTAACACAGTTTAGTGTGCCCACGTCCTCTCCCACCAAAAAATGCTTTTGAATCCTAGCGACATGACCAGTTTAACATAATTGCTAAGATGAAATAACAGCTTCAGCGCTGGGCATAATTAGGCCAAAAAAAAAAAAAAAATTGTGTTGGCCGCATTTGGGGAAAATCCAAAAAATGTGTAGGCCGGTAGTGAAACTTTTTTTTTTTTAACCAGAAATGTGTTTACACTTAAAAATACACAAATAATATTGTATTATTTGTGTATTTTCTACAACAATTTTGGATTCGCATGGCATACCATGCACCAAACAAGGCTAGGCCTTGGAACCCCCCTAGCCTAGTCCAAGGCTGTTCCAGTCTTTTTAGCTCATGAAAAAAAATATTGTTCCTTGTTGTAGTCAAAAAAAAAAAAAAAATACTAAAATGCCGACCCTGAATTTCGTAAAATTTGGGTTGGTCGGGCGTGGCCAACACAATACATTTTTTTATTTGGCCTTAGCCCACCACAACACTTCTACATGTGGGATTTTGTCCTGACATCTATTAGATGCACATGATCTGTCTGAAATTTTAGCTCTTGTTATTTTGGCAATTTGATATGTGATGATCTTGGTAAAGTGTCATAGTGTGTGTAGAGTGGAGAAACGGAAATCAGACTTAAACCACCCAGGACAATAACCACCTGGACGAAAACCACCCACAATGGAATATACAGTTGTTAAAGTGGGGTGGGCAGTGGGGTGGACAATGTTGGTGGGTCTGTTTTTATCAGCTTTACAATATGATAGTTTACACTGTGACTTGTTATTATATGCCTTATTGTATTCCATTTTGGGTGGTTTTCGTCTGGGGTTATTGTCCTGGGTGGTTTACGTCCTACAGAGTATTGTATTGATAACACTACAGCTTTGTAGCTATTTAAATACTGTGATGCTGAGACCACAGGCGACCAAAATTATTTCGAGTCATTGTGAATTCTTTTTTCAGCTTCTTTTTCTGATGAATTTGATAAGTATAGTTCCGAGATAAGTGAAAGAGTCAATTTGACAGAAAGAATTTTCATCTAAGTTAATATTGTTTTTAGGAACATCCATTCTGGATGGCACAAGTTATAATTTATTTGCAAAGGACTTTACACCTCGATTAAAGCTATTAACTGAAAATTTTGTTAATTATTGCATGGAGATTCCTCATCAATTTTCCTTTACCTTTTGCAGCATTTTTCAATTCCATACATAGTTACAGGAGATGAAGAACAGTCAATTTCCTCCTCAAGGGTAAGTTTTTCTTTTGGGGGGTGGGGTTTATTTGTATACATTAATGTATATTTTTCTGCTTTTAACAAAAGAGTGTGATGATCTTTTACTTATGAAATTTTTGTTTTTTTAAAACCATCATTTCACAAAAAAGAAGCTAAATTGTATATGATTTATACGACTCATACCATCACTACAAGCAAGCAATGTAACATTGAGACCATTTATACTAGACAAAATTCTTAAAAAATATCAATTCAGCCAAGTAATGAAGCGTTAATAAATGAGACAATTTATACCAGACAAAATTCTAAAAAAAATATCAATACAACTAAGTAATGTAGAATTAATAAATGAGACAATTTAATGTAGACAAAATTCTAAAGAAATATCAATAGAACTAAGTAATGTAAAATTAATAAATGAGACAATTTAAACTAGGCAAAATTCTAAACAAAAGTAGAATCTGACAAAATTAACAATACAACCAAGTAATGTAGCATTAAGAATGACAAAATTTAACAAATTTCTAAACAAAATTAACAATACAGTTCAACCCCTATTAAGGGGACACCTTCAGGACTAAAAAAAGTGTCTCCTCAATAGGAGTGTCTCCCGAATAGGATACCCTTACTCAGGAGAGGTGAAATTTCCCCCTTAATTGGGGTTTTTGGCATGTTTTCGTACAACAGTGACATACATTCTTTATAATTTTATTTTTATTGACCTAAGAATCAGCTACTGTAGAACTAATTTATAGCAATAATTTGCAGTGCAAATACAATTCATTTATAGTATTGGTCATTCTTTAAATGATTTTTCTTATTTTAAGACTGCTTAGTTGTTATGATACAATGGGTTTATTTGTAGTATTAATGAGACAATTGAAACTAGACAGAATTAAGATAAGTAAAATAAATTAATAAATTACATATGTAATAAATTATATGTATGAATCATTTCTCTTTAAAATATTAAATAATATCAGAGCCACATCTGTCACTTCTGTGTTTCTATCTCAAAAGTATGTGAAACCATAGCCTGAGAGCTTACTTCCCTGATTATTTACTTTTGAAATAGGAATTGACAGAGAATTTGTTCACAATTGATAATATTATTACCTCCATAAATTTTGATAGACAGTGTATCTTTAGGAAACAAGTATTTTGTTAAACTTGTTTCCCTAGTTACTATTAAAAATAATTGCCATTTCAATTTAGTCAAATTGTCATATTTGGGTAGAAAGATATGCTCGTAATGAATAATTGATCATCATCATATTCTTGTATTCTTGTTTCATTTCAGTCTGAATCCTTTGAAGACCAGAGACGTTACCTACAACCTAATTATTTTTAGATTTAAGTTGTTGATATTAGCAGGGAACAGTGAAATTACGATAACCACAGCGAGGTGCGCAACTCTAGACTAAACGGAAAAAGCATTCGCAGCAAACGTCCATGCTAGGTCGCCTGTAATGCCCAGAGCCTCCTAACAGTAGGGCGTACAGGTACTAGGCAATATAGGGCTAGGCTACCTGATCGTGACTGACAGGTGTACACGTTTACGTTCACCGTCTTTGTACAGTATTAGTATATATGTATTGTACAGTATATCTAGGCCCGAATCCATGTCAAACTGTAGATTTGCTGTTTGATTAGTATTTTAAAATAGAATATAGACCGTTCGCCATCGAGCATTTTGCAAAATATTAAACAATCGTCGCGATGTAGGCCTAGGCCTAGTCCACATTTAATTGTTTCTGTATAACTTAGGTGGTTTAATTTAACTGTTCCCTGGAAATCATGGTATGACACGACGTCGATCATAACGAGAACACGATAGCGAGCATGCGCAAAGCAATTGTAATTAGTTACAAATTGTTTATCAGTTGATTATGATAAGAACGGCGGTACCGCGGGTTATAACCTTTGATGTTCGGTTCGAGAGGTTTCCATGTAATTTCACTGTTCCCTGATATTAGTAAACAATTGCCATCATGAGTTATGTTCAAGTTTTTACAAAATAACAATTTGAATCACAAAACTATATTGTATACATATATATATATATATATGTGTGTGTACATTTTTCAAGTAAAGATGACGGCAACATTTTATTAATAATTAAGCTTACAATCTGAATCATATTTTGGTATCATTGTTTATCTGAACTCTATTAATGATAATTCTATTAATGATAATTCTTAGAAAATAATAAATGATCATGTTTTTAGTAAATTTTATGTATTTGTCATTCTCTAAATATATTAATACTATTTTATAGGTGGGCTATGTATTCTATTAATAAATTTTATTGCAAAGCAATTGTAATTAGTTGCAAATTGTTTATCAGTGATTATAATAAGAACGGCGATACCGCGGGTTATAACCTTTGATGTTCGGTTCGAGAGGTTTCCATGTAATTTCACTGTTCCCTGATATTAGTAAACAATTGCCACCATGAGTTATGTTCAAGTTTTTACAAAATAACAATTTGAATCACAAAACTATATTGTATACATATATATATATATATATGTGTGTGTACATTTTTCAAGTAAAGATGATGGCAACATTTCATTAATAATTAAGCTTACAATCTGAATCATATTTTGGTATCATTGTTTATCTGAACTCTATTAATGATAATTCTATTAATGATAATTCTTAGAAAATAATAAATGATCATGTTTTTAGTAAATTTTATGTAGTTGTATTTCTCTAAAGATATTAATACTATTTTATAGGTGGGCTATGTATTCTATTAATAAATTTTATTTACCGTGTTTATATATTTGGTATAGAGAATTCTTTTAATTATGGGAGTCACAAATATCATTCAGTTACTTTTATTAGTTTACAGTGATTTCAATGACTAGGATGCCGAAGATTAGATGGCTTATGCATTTCATGTGATTCACATAAAGAACACCCCCATGTTCTGCCTTCTGAGCCAGATTATATTCATTATACATCCTACTGTCTTATTTTAAATTTTGTATGTTTTTTTTTTAATTTGTATTGTTTACTGTAGTAGGCTCAGGCTGTATTAATTAAATATAGAATATTCATGAATGTACAGTATTGTGATTTAAAACATAGAAAATAAAGAATTCTTTTACCCACAATTTTCTGACAGTTTTAATTCGATGTAGTTGCTGTGGGTCTCCATGGGTATCCCAATTACTGTTACTGTTTGTTGGTAATGAAAACTGTATTGTGCAGGGTTAGTAATTTCTGTAAGGTTTTCAGTAATATAAATAGAATGGAAAAACCATGTGACTTAAATTGTGTAAATGAGCCAATAAAAATATTGGGAATATACTTGGTATACAATAAAAAGGAATGAAAAATTAAGTTGGGATAATAAGCTAATTAATTTAGAAACAGGAGGATCCTGTAGTCGGGTGACAGGGGGAGGGTGCTCCCCCCCTCCCATTTTGCCACCAAATTTTAAAATTTCAATGCATATATAAAGAAATTAGCGCTACTCATCTATTTTGAATATGTTGTGCCCCCTCTCACCCCCGTTTGAAAAATTCTGGATCCACCTTTGAGAAAGGTCACTAAACAAGTGGAAAGCTATGAACCTTTTGAAAGGTGACAATATTAAAGAGCCTTGCATTGTCTAAATTAATTTATAACGCATCTATAATTTACGTTCCGGAGGATATTATATTAATATTATTACAAATTGACATAAGGAATTTAAGGAATTGAAAAAGAGAAATAATTAAGAGAAAAACATTAATCAGTAATCTAATAGGTGGCCTAAATATGCCTGATTTCTCATTACACATAAAAACCCTCAAAATTACTTGGACAAGAAAATTACTGTGTAGAAAACATAAAAAAAGATGGAAATTGTTGCCGTTATATTATATAAATAAAGTTGGAGACATGCGCCTAATTTTTAGTATGTCAAGTAGTAACATTAAAGATCACATTAAAATTAAGCACATTTTTATTTTAACCTCACTAAGTGCTGTGTTGATTTAAACAAAATCGAGAGTCGATGGTTAACACTTACGAAGCAGTAGTTGAACAAAACTTATAGGGAAATAAGGTAATTAGTATACGCATGAAAAAAAACCTGTTTTATATGAGCTGCATTCTCTCTGGATTTAATAAAATCAATTATCCAATCCAATCCGATTCAATCAAATCTTAAATTTGAAAGGCGCATAGGCCCTATACATTGTGTGTCTATGCGCTGAGAAAGAAAAAGTGTTAAAACAAAAGGACAAGATCAAGTACGGCTAGAAACAAATAGTTGCGTATAATATAAATCAAGATAGCTGTTAACACTGTTAAATTATATATAAATCATCAAAGAAAGGTAAATACAGTGTTCGAATAAAGGACATAATAATACACCGTGTAGCAGCTTTCAACGAATGTAGTCCTGTAAATAAATGAAGAAATTGTGTAATAAAATGCCTCTGGCGGGACTCAAACCTGCGACCTCTCGCTGTACGGCTAGAAACAAATATTTGCATATAATATAAATCAAGATAGCCGTTAACACTCTTAATACCTTTCTTTCTATATATATTAAATACATACATATAATATATATGTATATATATGTAGAATATAATATAACGTAACATTAATGAAACTCAAATACGTAAGATGTTGATTTTAGAAACACTAAAAACTCAATGAAAAAGACGATGAGATGTCAACGACTTGGTAGACTTAGAACACAAATTTTATTCAAAACATGAATATTTCAACCCGTCCCCGGGTCTTTCTTTGATTGCCTATTTTTGTTTAGTATGCCTTTTTATTCAGTATATAGTTCAGTATAGTATATATATATATATATATATATATATGCCTTTCTGGCTCTTTGTTATTTGGCTGCTTGTTAACATGTTTTTGCTTATTTGCTATTTATCATGTTGAAGGGGGTTTAATCTAAGCGGTTCCTTTATTCTAATGTCATTGTTTATTTCCATCTTTGTTATTACTAACTGAGATCTGTATTCCCACACTGATATTAGCCTCATTATTATTACAGTGACCAATTAATTTATCTATTAATTATTTCTATTGTTACTCCGCTCCTTAGTTTTTTTGTCCAATCACCATGTTCATTATATTCTATTAAAATGTCGACCAATCATACTTTACTTTTTATCATAATTATATTGTAATAGCCAACTTATATTTTGTTTGTCACACATGCTGAAGGAGACCTGAGTACGGGTTGAAATATTCATGTTTTGAATAAAATTTGTGTTCCAAGTCTACCAAGTCGTTGACATCTCATCGTCTTTTTCATTGAGTTATGTATCTAAGGAACACACATGGATTAAATCATGCTCTATATATATATATATATATATATATATATATATATATAAATAATAATATTAAATCTTACGACCTTGTCATTACTTAGCTGAATTTAGATAGACTGTGCTTCTTTGCAAACAGTAGGATTAATTTAGAGTCAAAACTTCATCTTTTTCTTCCTCCCAAAGTTTCTCATAAATATTCAACGAGGTACACACAATTACAAAAGTACCATGAACCTAAATGACTCAGGTGTTCTTTTTATTTATTAAGCTACCCTTTTTGGTATCTATGTGTATCTTTTGTAAATTTAATTGTCTCTTTATTGTATTTTTTACTGTCGTTATTTGTAAATTGCTCTCTTTTAATTAATTTTTTGATTTGTATTGTAGAATCTTTAATGTATCATTTGCTATTTTTATTGTACATTCAAATTGTAATTCAGCCTGTGCTGCTATTTTTAAAAATTTTACTGTATTTTACTTTATTGAATATTGAATAAAAGACACTAATGATATTATACACATCTAGATGTGTATAAGAGACAGATATATATATATATCATTAGTGGTTGTGGGAATAGTTTGGGCCCTACCTAAGCTGGTCGAACGTTTTGTTTGGGTCTATACCCTAGCTGCACTGATGAGGCCTGGAAGGCCGAAATGGATCAGTCTGTAGATATTGGGATTCCTTCCAGTGGATGCTTAGTTTATTTTGTCATTCTGATCGGATTTTCTCTACTTTTCCGTTTTAATTTTATTTTAAATTGTTTTGCATTATGTGGCCGTTTGCTGTTTTATGGGTTTTTCCCATTTTCCTTTCAAACTTTTAAATAATCATTAATAATCCATCCATCCAATATAATACAATACGATAATATACAAAGGCACCCTGATCTATATAGGTCTAGTATCTAGATCTGTATATGTACACTTGTGTGTGCAATTTGTGATATTTTTTCCCTTTTTTTATTAAAAAAAAATAAGTGCCGAAACCCGGGAATATTCAGAATCCAAGCGGATTCTCCGGAATTGAACCAGGGACCTTTAGATCTTCAGTCTAACGCTCTCCCAACTGAGCTATTTCGGCTCTTATGGTTCAGGGCGCATTAGTTTCACAAAGTCAATTAACGGAGTTCGATGATTGTAGTCATGTGACTAGGTTTCCCTACTCTCTTTCTGATAGAAAATAAAACTCAAAAAAACATTTAGTACTTTAAAGACTAGTTTATTTGAAGGTACACTAACTTTCGTGCACATAGTGTACTTATTTCTGATAGGTTGTCTTTCATGATTTATCTTTCGGCAAAGATACTAGAAATACAAGATATAGCACTCGCATAGCAAAAATGAGGCGGATATTGGTCCAGACGTACGCGGCGCTCTGCTCTTTATATAATGCAAGTTTTCTATACTTGGTCCAGACGTACAGGGCGCCCTTTTGTTGCTAGGTATAACCAGGAATGGAAGAAAACTGTTATCAGTAATCAGAGTCCGGTCATACGAATCTGCGCTTGTGTTTGTCATTTTTTTTTTTTTTTTTTTTATTTATTTATACCTACTTATTTGTATATTATAGATAATGACAACGATTTCAACCTCCGCAAAAGGAAGTAATATATTCACAATATCCAGCCGTACGCTATGCGGTGCCCCATTGCTTGTATTCCCACCATGCATTTCGGTGAAACAGTTTTTGCCTGTGGAGAATTCTATCTTGTGTTTCTAGTATTTTTGCTTTGGGAAGGCCTTGGTACCCTCATCTAGGTTCCGGGTCGTTTCGGCCGGGGCGTTTTCGGCCGTTTTTGCGCCGAAACGACCTGGGTCAGAAGTGGTCGCGCCCTATTGTTTGTTCGATTTCAATTAACAGCCGCGGTATGGAGCGCCAAGTACGCACTGTAGTTTATTTGGGTTCTGTATTTTTAAAGATCTTTTAATTCTTTTGTGTGTGTGTTTAGTATGATTTATTTTGTCTTTTTTTATTAAGTAATACTTTTTCTTTTCTGTTTTTTTTTTAAGTTTTACAATTGTTATTGTTTCAGATATTTTAATTAGTTTGAGTATTAATTTTACAGTACAGTATGTGGTTATTCAAAAACAATGTTCTTTTTTCTTGCAGTTCCCAGTAGTGAAAAGTCAAGTGTATAAGCAAGTACAAGACAGCACATATATTATCAATTTCTATCCTTAATAAAGTCTTTAGTGTTTTGTTGCGTTATTTTAATTGTTAAATCAAATATATCTGAATTTCATATGTTTGTATTCGCGGCTAGTAATTTCATTTATCAACACAAAAATTAGACTTTCTAAAAAAAAAAAATCTTTTCAGAACTAGGCCTACCTACATTGTACAGTCAGCTCAAACAATATTTCATCATTATCATCATTTTAGAATTTACAAAGACAACAGTACATCATCCTACAAATCGAAAATATGGATCCATCGGGGGCAGATGCCAGAGATGTCAAAAGAGAGGGGAGGGGGCAGTTAAAAAGGGGGAAAAAATGATCGCCCAAAACGCCTCACATGTTACATTCGAGCGTCTGCCTAGAAAACAAATATTTCGCGCGAATTTATTCGTATAAATAAAATATAAAATAAATAAATTTTATTGGAGCATTTATAAACATGATCCAAATATCATCCTATGGAAACGCTAAAAAGAAACGTGTCTCCAAACCATCGACTTGTAACATTTGCGTTGTTTCTGTAAAAAGAAAGATAACACCATTTGATACTGCAATGTGAACTCTTTAATAATAATAATAATAATAATAATAAAATGCTACTAAAAAGAATTGTGAATATCTGATGTTGCAGTAAAAGTTTCATGTTTAATAAACGGTAGGCCTATACTGCTTAGCCACCTTGTTCTATTAAATTATTATTCGCGGCAGCACCTTCGGCGCTCCATACACCGCGGCCGAACTGCATGACAAAAAATTAAAAAATCGGGCCGAAAAGACTCAGGGCCGAAACGACTCGGGCCGAAATGACCCGGGGCCGAAACGACTCTACACCCCCTCTAGCTAGGTTAGGCCTAGGATATTAAGCATCCCATTTGAGCTTAAAATGTTAATTAAGGAAGTACAGTAAGTTGCTTCAGTAGTAAGATAAAAAAATAAATAAAATTGCTATTATAGGCCTATCGCTCATCATATTTTTTTTCCGCCATAACTAGAGATACGGTACCGTATCCGAACTTCAAATTGCTAAAGGTACGGTAAATGATATTACGTCATGATTAGCCAATAGAAAAATGACCGACACGATTTTGGCTTTTTGGTTCCTATGCTTGACTTCGGGGTGAACGGTCAATTGTAGCTCATAAATTAAGCTTTCCTTTACCATGTAAGTCCCATCATGCTGGTTGCTTAAATAACCATTGATCATTTTTGGTATGTCCGTGAAGTTGGTTCCTAGTTCATAGTTCCTTATTCAAACTATATTAGAGGGACAGTCCCTAATATTTTAAAATATATACTGTATTATTATAATGTTTTGGTCACTTTCCTTATATGGATCATGGAGTTATAATAATTTTATAACTCCATGTATGGATAGAATACTTTTGACCACTTCTACCATTTCCGCCATTGGTAATTGAATTAATGTGTATATCATACGCCATCTACTACGAATATATAACTGGCTTCTAATTCTCTATAACATTCAACTTATACTATTCTTTGGTAATCTTTCGACATGGATTTATGACATTTGACCTCATCTATCATTTCCAACCACAGTTACGTGATTTTATTTGCAAATACGCCCTCTATGGCGAATAAGTAACTAGCTTCTAATTCGACATAACACTCAAATTATAATATTATTTGGTAATATTTTGACATGGGTATATGACCTTTGACCACATCT